CACACACACACACACACACACACACATTTTGTTGTCTATTGGTGTGGGGAGAGCACCAGTCGGAACCACCCACCCACACTCTTCGAGTTCTGTACAGCGAACATAGCACAACATACGCACACCATAATCACTACCTCACCCTTCCCGACCGCATCAACAAACGAACTACGGGCTGCGCACCCGTGCCCTCACGGTAAGTCAATAAAACGCACCCCTGACGGGCTGCGAAGTGGCCCTGTGCAAATTCGCATTCCCCAGGACACCACCCTCGGCCGGTAGGCCCTGTGGTTGTAACGAAGTTTTTTGACGGCGGCGGCCGCAAATTCGCACTCCCCAGGTCCGGTAGGGCCCTACGCGGCACCAACTCGAATTCGTACTCCCCAGGATAGCGGGAGCGGGAGCGTTCGGTAATTCCCCGCGCGGCACTCCCCAGACCAATTTTTGGCCGGTACACGGTCCCGGGCCAATATCTGAATGGTGCACGCGTGCCGGCGCCCCGTCACTTTTATGCTCGACTTGGCTATTCTGTTACTGTTCGACTGGCTACGACTTGGCTATTCTTGCCATCTGGTTGAGTTTCAATCAGTTTCCAACTGAGGAAAACTGACTGATTGGCACTCAACCAGATGGCAAACGGATCTTTCAAGGCTGGCACCCTGTGAACGGTTGTTCATTCCAGGCCAACGAAGCTCAGACTTAGGCAGAGGTTGGCTCTGCCTTCTCACAGATTCGAGTCATTGAGAATGTTGGTGAAGATGGCTCCCCGTATTGCGCTCTGTTCTCAAAAGGGAAATCATTCAGATTACTGATATTAAAATTAGACTTGGCTACGTACTCTGCCACTCTACCTGAATTCGCTACAGTCCCCTTCGACTTAGCTGTTAGGGTGGACAGACACACACGGTCGACTTCGACGCTCAACGCAGACACGCACACACATACGCATACACACACACACATACGCATACACACACACACGCACATACATACGCATATACACAGAGGCACGCAAACATACGCATACACACACACACGCACACACCCATACGCACCCTCACACACGCACACTCACACAGGCACAGACACACGCACATACACAGACATACGCACACGGACGCACATGCACACACACGCACGCACACCCATACGCACACGCGCATAGACACACGCACGCCCACATACACCTACTCGCATGCACAAAACGCCCACAAGAAACACACCCACCCACACAAAACATACTCGCGCCCTACACATGTACGCACACAACACACCCACCAGGAGTTGTTGTTGGGAAGGTCTTTTACCTGCTGGAGGGTGGACTCTGCATTCTGAATGTAGGACGCCGAGGTTTGGGCTACGCATTGCGTTGAGGCTTTCGACCGCGCCACGACAAGTGAAGGTGAGCTAAATCTGCTTTGTCATTTATGCCTGTTGCTTTCAATTCTTTATGGGGTTTGAACTATCTCACACACACCTGTCTCTTATACACATCTAGATGTGTATAAGAGACAGGAGCTGCAGCATGCAACATTTCAGTGGTGGAGAGCACAAGGGCAGATCCTAAGCTTGAAAAGAAAAAGAAAAGGTAATGTTCTATTCGAATACAAAAGTTTTTCTTTTTCGAAGTCGAATACAAAATGTACATATTGTTTTCGAATACAACACATACATGGTCTATTCGACATGCCCTTCTATTTGAAAAAAGTTGTTCAACTCAAGGACAGGTCCTCTGTAAGCAACAACTGCCCGTTCCCAATGGATTGCCTCCCCAACAAATTTACGACCCTTTCCACTACCCTTTGGACCAGAATGGACGACAGGTATAACGAAGGACGACGAAATTGACTCAGGGATGTTCGCAGCCCGTCAAGGTTTCGTTTCCCTCTCTGAGACATTTCAACTTCGTTGAAATTTCAACGTCGGTAGTCGTTCGGGAGGGTGGGCATTTTGAGGTTTCGGGGCTTAGCAAGAGGCGGGGTATGCCAAGGACCAGTAGCTGCCCGTAGGAGGCCGAGGAGGCCGGTCCTTGAGTTTTGAACATTCCGAAATTGAAACTGTGTGGGTCCACTTCTCTCAAATGGAAACAGTGTGGGTCCAATTTTCTCAAATAGAAGAGCAGTTTGGATAAAACACATGCTTGTTGTGTTCGAACACAACATGTACCCTTTCTACTCAAATTTCGAAAAGGAAAAACTCTTGTGTTCCTAGCATATTACGCTTTCTTTTTTTCTTAGAGGTCAGCCCCTGCCCTTGTGCTCCCCGCCACTGACATAGTGCATGCTGCAGGTCTCTCT